GTAAAGTTTTTTTTTTGGGGGGGGGGGGCGGAGGGGGTTGTTTTTTAAATGTCTTCATGCACCCGTTACCTGGTAGAGCTATTGGCATTCTTCAAAGGGTTTGAAACCACAGTTGCACTCAAGACTTTTACCATGGAGAGTCCAAATGTAGTTAGAGGAAAAATGGTTATGGATACAATATAAAAGACATATTCTTTCCACAAAGCAGAAAGAGAACACTAAGCAGGAAGAGTGGGATGAATAAAGGTCCTGGACTTCTGAAAGGGGTTGCCCAAAAACAAACAAGATGAGGAAACATATGGAGTTTCTTTAGCGCAGATGTGTGCTATTTGTGCTAGAGCTGTAGCTCGTGTGTTTTCTGTCAGTAAAGTGTGTATAATTAAGAAATCCCTTTAAAAAGCTACTGTGGTATTTGCTTTAAGTATTAAGTAGGTTTTAGAAAGGGTTTAACTGTAAATAAAGAGTAGGACAGGTCAATGCTGGTCTTGTAGCTGAAGGCAGCTGGGTCCATAAGTAGTCAGGGATGTTATTCAGGGAGTCTTTATCCTAGAACGTGTATGAACATCTGGTCTGAGAAATGGTTTGTGGATGCAGTTCAGATTCTGTCAGTGTGGAAAGATGTGCTTTAGGCTGGATCTAATGCAACTGCCCACTGTCCTACTGCAACAGGGAATTTAGCTAGGGCTGTAACATGATACTCTAATTTAAGTTTGCCCCCCTCTGCCTTTCCCCGAAGACACTTGCATTTGTTTTTTGCTGATATGATCCAAACAAGTATTCAGCCTGAGTTAGCTAGAATGAAAAAGCTCAGGTCAAATGGTTGAACTATGGCAGTTATACACAGCTAAATAAAAGACCTTATAATGGAAAGCATTAGGCATTCTTAGTCACAGGCATAACTGCAAGCTCTGCCTATAATAAAATATTTTAAAACTGTTACTTAGCGTAGTATAACAAATACAACGACAACATGAAGAATTAGTACAGCTGTTTGATTAACTGAATATTGAATAATACTGTGATTTAAGTCTATATTTAATGGTGAATGGAAATTTTCTAGTGAATAACACTTAACTTCTTATATTAGTCTAACGTAAGTATCCATTTACTTGCTGTTGACATATATTAATACATTCTGCATAGCTAAAATTCACTGAATTGAAATGTGTTCATACATAATACAGCGATGATACATAAGCCTTTCTGGTAAAAAGACTTGGTACAAATTATGGTTTGTAACTGAAAAGGAGAATTTGCCATGTATTAAGCCATTTCATTTTGTCATTTGTGTGCACTTTTCCTTAAGAATGAAGTTTTATGCTGGTATTCAAACAAAATTTCAGGTGTATAGAGAGCGTCACATACCTTACAGTCTCCAGATAAGTGTGCATGTGTGGTTTGGGGCCCCTTAAAGCAGTTGATGAGCTGCACACAGTACACGTGCAGTCGTTCACTGCACTGCTAATTTATAGGAAACTGAGGGAGCTATCTGTTTGTGGAAAAACTGCCACTAAAAAAACCCAGCATAGCACATGCAGCAGCACTGTGAACCGCCAAAAACAGCAGCTGCCAGAAATGGCAGCAGCAGCTCCAGAAACAGCAGCTTGGCACTGCTGTTGTCCCAGGGGGTCCCCAGGACCCCAGGTAGGGCTGATGGGGCCAGCACCTGTGCTGGCCCCAGCCTCCCCTACCCCACCTGGGTCATTTTGCCCCACTCTGGAGCATGTGTGCAAGGGCTTGCTCTGGGACAAAAAGCAGTGGCACTTATTTATGCATGTGCACATGCATACTCATTGGGGCATGCCCATTTAGTCTTTCCTTCATAATGTAATTCCATTGTGTAAAATTGTAATGTATATAATGTATAATTCCTCTAGATACACCGCCCTGCTGCCCCCTCCTCCCCCCCGGATATATATTGCAATGTTACCTCATTATTCTGCCAGAATCCCACCCTGACTGTTCTATAGATCCTTAATTTCCTGGCAGGTGGGCAGAATGATCCTGCCTTACAACTACTGAAAAACAGGATCAAGGATAGAATGCTATATGCATGATGGTGTACTTCAGTTCTCAGGTAGCAGCAGCAGCAGCATCACTGCAGTCTCAATAAACTGCATAAACTCTAAGTACCTAATTTTTACCAAAGCCATTTTTAAAGTTCCTGGGAACTATTATTTGTGTTTTTCAGTTAAAGAAAAAGAAATACAGCATATGTTTATAATCGTTTTAAAAGTACACTGACAATAAATATTGTTTCAAGTAAGTTCAGTTGGTTTTATTTTTCGTACAGCACATAGTCATTAGAAGACTGCACACAACATAGTGTATTTGAAACTCACAAATGGATGCTGATCCTACTGTGGAATGTAAAAAAAGTTCCATAAACTATTCAACAGTTTAAACATTGTAGGAAGCTGAGGGAACTATCTGTTTGTGGGAAAAGGGAGTAACAAATGGCTTGCGTAAGCAAAGGGGTTGAGGTTCCTACTTCATTTGTATGCGTGACTCACAGGATAGTCTTTTGTTTTCTTTCCAATTTAATTACTAAGCCATTGATTTTGAGTGATGATTTATCAAGTACAAAAATCAATAAGGATCCCATTTTAGAAAAATTGCATTTTGATTAATATCCAGTTGGACATAAACAAAAAGTGACAGTTGCATTGACACCCTCTTCTTTTCTAATACAGGTATACATGCAGATCTATTCAGAACTCTGAAATGTGCTTTATATTAGGTTGGGGTGGGGTTAAAATGCTGAATAATGAATGTAGCCTGCAGGACAGAGCTTGATTTTGAGCAATGGAGGAGAAAATTTAGAGCAGAGCAATCTGTGTTCAGAGTAGCTTTTTGCAAGTTGCATTCTACTCATGTTTTTAAAGCAAGGAACTAAAATAACTCAATTTATGAAGAAAGAGAAAACTCATGTAAGAACATAAGTACTGCCATGTACTGGATTAAACCATCAGTCTGTTTTGCCCAGTACCCTCTGTCATGTCCCCCCACCACCACTCCCCTTCCCCCACATTGTTCCTTTCTCACTTGAAGCCTCCAACATGTAAAATCTAGGGAGTTCTAATTCAGAGGCTGTGTCCCTAACTCCAATAGTCAATAGCTACTGATGCCTTTTTCCTCCAGTAATTTCTCCAGTCCCTTTTTGAAGCTGAACTGTCAGCTTCCACAACATCTGATGACAAGGAGTTCCATACTTTAATTACACACTGGCCACATCCACATGAGACACAGACTGCGCAGTACCATTGTGTGGCACAAAGCATGACACAATGCTACCACGAAGAAATAACAAGCTACTACATAGTCAGCATCACCAAAAAGCCATTTGGGGATGCTACTGCACAGTAACTCTGGTTACTACACAGTCATTTAGTACTTGTGTGTGCAAGTACTAAATGATTATATAGTAACAACTGCTCAGTCAACATCTTATGTAGATGTTGCCACTTTGTGAAAAAGAACTTTTTTGTTAGTTTTAAAGTTACTACCTATGGATGCATCCAAATGAGTGCGCCTTTAAGGTGCTGCAAAGTGCACATGCATGCTTGTCTGGACACACCCTATTAGTGTAAATTTTGAGACCCCTAGTTCTTCTATTAGGAAAAACAGTAAATAATAAATGCTTGTTTACTTTCTCTTTGCCATTTAGTATTTTGTAAACCCTTATCATGTCCCTGCTTGAGTGTCTGTTTTATAACCTAAATAGGACTAGCCTCTTTAGTCTCTCCTCATATGGAAACTCCTCCATACCTCTAATTATCCTTGTTGCCCTTCTCTGTACCTTCTCTAGTTCTTCTATATCCTTTTTAAAGGTATGGAGACCAGAACTGGGCACAGTCTTCAAGGTCTGAACAGGTCTTGGATATATAAAGGGGCATAATGATACTAAGATAGCCTTAGAGATTTGTGTTATGTGAAATGTTACTACTTTGAAGTAAGCAGCATAAAATGTCCACCTTCCCCACCCTCCATCCCACCAACAAAAGGTATTTTATTATACGGTTTTAGCAGCTGCTACTCCATTTAAGTGCAGCAGAATAGCTGGCAACCATTTACTGAAGATATTTGTGGTATCTAAACATAAATTTCCAATGCAATCACTTCTATTCACACCTAGGGAAAAAGGAATTTTAGGTGCCACACACTGTGTATTTCTTACCTTGGAACTGGGCATTAAATCCTTTTCGTCGGTGGTTACTGTCTGATGTGAAATGGAGTCGTAACCAGTTCTTACTGCTGATAACCGGAGAAGGCAGATTCATGCCAGTCAACCTGGGGGGAAAAAGGGAATCTCAGTGAAGAAAGAGTACAGCAAAAACTGTTATTTAGACTTAAGTAAAACAGAAGACCAAGGTAAAGAGAAAATACATTATTACGGCATGCAAGATGTCTCTGACAACTGTAATGCATTAGCAACTAATGTAAATCTATGAATAGTTTACTAGCTGTTTATCCTGAAGAAGGTTTTGCACTACAGTCATTCAAATGTTCAACTCATTTCTTCACAGTACTTTATTGTGAATAGAAAAGAGAACAAATATCTAATTGTTTGTTTTTGAGTAAGTAACCTATCGACAGAGGACTTAGCAAATATGATCATGAAAAAACATCAAAAGGAATAAAAAGAGTTCATATTTATCTTAAAATAGAAGACAGAGTATCCTATCCTCCGGGAAAATTATTGACTACATTCAATACAGGCTAATAACAACAACAAATATATTTTAGAAGAACAAGATGAATAATTCATCATAAAAATCTCCTTTACAAGGACAACAGGCAAGCAAAAAAATCCCACTTATTGTTAGAAC